TCCTCTTTGTAAAAATACTGATATAAAATTAAATTTTTTAAGTAAACGAGATTAAAAGCACCTTGCAAGTAAAGTTAACTTCGATGTTCAAAATATTTGGAAAGTAGCTTTTTGAGAGGAATATAGAATTCAGTCATGAAGTACCGATAAAATTGCCAATTCTTCTAATAATTGTCCCATTGTAAAATTATAATTTTTACATTTACTTACACTCTATAAATCTGTGACATTTTACTTATCTATAAGGGATAAAGTAGTATGAAAATGTATTTTGTTGAGGCTTACTATTATTGGCGAGAAACAAGTTACATGAATCTTAGGATTCACAAATCTTCAAATTATAACTTTTGAAGAGATGCATTAGCATAGGGGGAAGTAACAAAAACTGCATTACTTAGCTGTGGATAAAAATAAATCACAACAATCTTAAAATAAGTAAAATAAATAGTCTTTATTAAGTATATAACATAGTATAAAGTATGTTTGCACTTAAATTTACATAAAGTATATTAAACAATTATATAATATATAACTTCTAATAAGTGTCCATACTATACTTGCTAAATAATACATTATGACATTTTATGTTATCAAACTGATATAAACTAAACTTTAACATATTTATAACAGTGAATAAAAAATATCTTTTCAATCGAAGTATTATTGTCCTTCGATTTTTATTGCTAGTTAAACTATCGTAACGATAGAAAATGCTATATTTGTAATATTAGAAAGTTATGCATCTCGTACCTTAAATTAAAAGTACCGAAATTAATATACAGTTTAATTAGTCGGATTGATCCTATGTATTTTATAAAACATGTAAAAACATTTTTCTAAGATTTAATTGCATATTGTTAAGGCAAAACTTGAAACACTCAACTACGCTTGCTTTTTTCGTCTCTTTTTCATATAGCACATATACAATTCTAGTAGCACATTATCCAGTAATCAACCAACTGAAATTCCATAGACTAATTCCTGTACACATAATCTCTCTCTAAATCTTTGTTACGAGTGTATATTCTTTCATTTTAAATAATATGTGTTTGTAAATCTACAATAGTGAATTATGCACAAAATATTCTAGATGACATTCACAATATGTGATAAAAAATCTCAATTCTTTCTTCTAAACAGTTATGAGTTTACTGTTCACATCTTAAGATAACGGTTTTCATTTGTGAGTGAAGAAAGATTTAACTTCTCCTTAAATTTAGATTTAAAAATCTAACGTACAACACTGTTTCGCATTATTAAAATATTTTCGTCAGTATCATTGACGTTCATGCACCAAATGCATCAATTTATTAAAATATTTGTGAATTTTTCATGTATATACAAGCACATAAACGTTATATGTACATGTACGTATTTTAAGTTACTTCAGTAACTATATTTTTCTAAGAATCTATATTACTTTATATCAACTAAATTTTTTATTTTCCCGCAGGATCCACATTATTAGTATAAAATAAGATAATAAGTATACGCAAATCACGCTATTACTGGTGCATACACGAGTACATTTTATCATATAATTCCAATCATTATACTGTCCCGTTATTGATATATTATTCAATAAAATTCACAGAATTCTTTTTGACGCATTCAAGAAGTACTTTTTTGCGAGTTTAAGAAGAAAATGATTTTATCAAATTGTAATTTCATATAGTACAGTCATGTATCAAAGTGTGTTAAAGTGCATGGATAGTTTTTCGTAGATTAGTCTAGACCAGGGCTTCTTAAACTATGGGTCGCGACCCCAAATGGGGTCGCGTAGCAAAATTTTGACGACTGTAATGGTAACTCGCAATCATAAATGGGGTCGTGAATGACAAAAGTTTAAGAAGCCCTGGTCTAGACAGAGCAGTGTTAAGAAATAAAAAAAAGAAATATTACCAGAAAATATAAATTGGATTAGACATTTTGCTTTTGTAAATGCTATTACAGTTAAGGGCATACAAAAGCAGTGCTTTCTTCGTAAAAAAAGAAGCGTGAAAAGTACGTGAACACTTATAACAATAACAGCTTATCACCATATTTTCATAGCTATATTTAACAACAGTTTGAAATATCAAACTTATTTCTATTTACATTGTATACAAGACTACCGAAATTAATAGCTCATTTATTGTATAGAAAACTACAGAAATTAACATTCAAAACTGTATC